TGAACACTTCCTCAGGAATCAGCTGGCAAATAGTTGAAGCAAGCTCACATATGTTAGCACTGTGTATTCAGTTTTATCAAAGCCTGCCCCAATCCCAAATATAGCCGCAAAGTCAGAATAATTTGTAAACAAAACTGTTTTTAAATCCAGCACTGTGATGACTGAAAGTTAGGCAACTTACCAAATTTATAGGCTAGTGATTATATTTTTCAATCCTTACACAATATTCTAAGATAGACAATAATAACACAAAACCCCCTTCACTGAGCATATTTGTTAATTTCAGTTTCAATTTTACAAGATCTGATTATTGTGGGTATATCTAGCACCCTCATACATTGCAGATGTGAATTATTACCATTATAATATGGAGAAGAAACACATGAATTAAATGACACATAAATGAGATTAAGTAGATAAATGGATCAGATACGATGGAAATTTTTACATATTGTTTTCCAAGTTATGACGAATGTCAAAAGATCTGTTTCATTTATAACTTTTTAACAGCAGGAAAAAGCAAATTACTGGCTATACAACAGAACTCAAAGTAACTGCCTGAATATTACTAACAATGAAGTTATCAAAAGTTTAATACTCATAGGGAAATTATAGTAAGCACTTCAAGTACAGCAGTATGTCTGCCATTACTTGTAATACACAGATTTAATTCTATTCTTAGTGGGAGGGGAGGAGAAAAAAACCACTTCATTCACTAAACACTTTATTACAATTTTTAAAACCTCACATGCAGAAATCAAATCAGTGTTCATACAAGTACTCACTAAAGGTATTGTTATTCTCCAGCTTACATTGTGGCGCTGCCAGCTTTTGGAACATTGAACTGTGAAAAAAGTCCATTTTTTCCATCATCCCTCCAGGGCATTCTCCTCTCCCAAAATGGCTTTGACCATTTTGGCTTTATTTTTATGACAGACCTTCTGTAAAGTCTTCTGGAAACTGTATAACCAAACAAAGTCATCTAATGGTTTAGAAGGAGCTGAGACTCTCCTGCTGCCAGGTTAGTCCATCAGCACAAACCCCAGGGATAAATGAACACTTCATGCTCAAGCCATGACCATCCCATCTGAGCCACCTGAAATGTCTCATTATGGCTGATCCCACAGAATGCTTTTCATCTGCCCCACACACTTGCCAGGCAGGATTATTACAGCAGAAATAGTTTAGCTTGGAGTTAATTTTATACTGTGCCTCAGCACGGCTGAACCAGATATGATAAATAAGGGTGATGCTTCAGAAGAGGGTCAGAGGAAAAACAAGCTGTACTCTAAACTGAATAGCTCTTGGTACGTTACACAAGAACAATTTCCACAAATGATGAGCTTTTTTCCCTGCATGACTTTTACTGGCATACTGAAAGATGCAATGAATAGCCTGAAATGGACTCTGCTGCATGTGGAATAAGTGCACTAATTAATGACAAAATAGAAATAGCTACTTCTACACTTTTCTTTTCTTTTTTTTTTTTTTTTCATATTCCATTAAATTTACCATTGCAATGAAGCATCAAAGGCAGCTCTATGTTCCTGCAGGCTTAGGTCAGCTAAGAGCAAACTGGTTCAATTTTTCTGGGTTAGGGTCTCACATCAAATGTCTGCAGTTGCTCCCTGCCACTTCATCCCTCTGCAATATCCACTGTGTGCAGAGCAGAGTCAGTATTTGCTTCTGACTCTGTTTTTATCATTCCTGCATGCACATACCAGATGAGGTTTTTTGTTTCTTTCCCAAAATATTTTTCTTTTTGATTCATACTGCTTCTGATACATTCTGACTTAAGTTAGCAGTTTGTACTGTGTGTCACTTTCTGGTAGGTCTATGAACATGTCTGCAGTTTATTTATATTCAACTAATAAAAACAATCCAGTAATTGTTTCTTTACATTTATCAAGGTGCAAAAGAGCTTGCTTGATCTGGTGTTGAAAGTTGGAAGAAAGGGCTTTTTGTCCTAACAATAGCAGTCAACTCCTTCCAAGTTACACAAAACCATAGTTTTAATTATCAAGCACCCATTGTTGTAAGCCATCAGTTTGTACTGTCCTCAGATTCTATCATCAGGCACAGAGTCAAATTTTGTTTTATTGTGCACAATTCAAAGGAACAGATGCATGGACAAAAAGAACAGAGTCTCAGTGATCACACCTCTACAATAACCTCAACAGAAAACACCTTAGTAGCCCCACCATACAAAAGCCCTCCATGATAAACATTTTGGCACTACTAAGAGCAAATCTTGACCATTTCTGAGAAGGCAGGCAATCCTATTTGAAAGAAAAGTGGTGCTTTCATAGGTTTCCTCTTAGGTTTGTACATGTTATGACTTTTGGGTTTGTAATGCCTGGCGTGTTCAGCTCTGAATCTGCAGGAGACAGGGTTTAGCTGGCAGGAGGTGCATTTTGTCTGCTAACCACTCTGTGAAAATTCCCTTATGTGCTCTCACCTCCACACCCCCCCTCCCTGATGGGACTGCAATCTCTAAAAACATATTTTACATTCAGTGTGACAGAACCTGAAGCTGAGGACACTCAGACTCAGCCCCACAGAACTAATCTTAGGTGAACTTTACCTATAATGTACCAGTGAAAATCAGATGTGAGCCTGGAAGAAGCAAAGTCAAAATACAGATCCCTACATGCTTGTCTTGATTTTGCAGCTTGAAAGCTATGAAATTGTTCTGGATCAATAAAAACAAAATAAACTTAATTGAATTACATCAACAGCTCACAGGTCATGAACAAACAACACTCTCTTAGCAACTTCTGCTTTGTAGTGTATTTGTTTGGCTATCCATCTTCCTGTATCATCATTCTACTGACATGAGATTTTCTTTTCTATGGAGGGCTTATAGATTTCAAAATAACTTTCCCAGAGAAATAATTAATTTTCACAAGTAATGAGGCAGATGGTGAGTCCTAAGTGAGACAATTTCCATTGACCCTGTTCTCAAATTTGGGAGGGATTTGAGAAATAGGCACCTCTTTCTCTTCCTGTCCTATTCAAAATTTCTGAATGAAAAATGACAAAAAATAACAGCTTTAAAAAATATTTCTGTATGTTCTTGTTTTCTCTGGGAAAAGGAAAAAAAAAAAACAAAGAAGGAAAAGGATACTGGGGATCTGTAGAGGAAAAAAAAGAGTTCTCTAAAAACTGAGGTATGTGGAACTAGCCTAAACCAATAGAAATCGTTCTTTTTAGAAAAGCTGTTATTCAAATTATGTATGGTAGCTGTAATTCTTCACATAAAACAGAAAGGCAGTTTCCCTAGATCCATACAATCTAAGCAGAGTGGAGGTGTTGAAACTCTATACCTAGATAAATAAAACCAGGAAATCTGTCCAAAAGTCTCTAGTATACTCAGTATTTGAAATAGATATCAGACAGAGTGAGGAAAACGGCCTCATGATTACTTCTGGGTGGGTTTGCATTTCAGCAGCCACAATGATTTGTCACTAATCCTTGCTCTCAAAAGCTGGCTCCTGAAATGAAAAGGTGTGTAGGCAACACTCAGCAAACCATGACACAGGAGACTGTCCTGTTCTGAGTTGGAAAAGGTCAGTTCTGCCCTGAGTTGCTACATAATACCTTGGCATTTCATAGCTTTAATGTTGCTGGAGACAAAATGGTCTAAACACATCAGGCAGAGCATAGGGAGAAGCAATACTAATATGAGGAATATAGTTAGGTATTCAGGTAATTGGAAAGAATTTACCAAATGGCTTTATGAAGGGGAAGTGAACTGTAGATCAGTATCCTTCCAGTATTAAGAAAAGAACTATTCTTGCATGCCCAAAGAGCCATTGAAATTGATTGCAGAAAAGGGCTTTTTATTTGGTGCTTGTATTTCTCTCTCTCTCTCTCATTTTTTTTTTTTTTTTTTTGGTCGAGGTGTCATTTGGAACAGATGAAAACTGCAAGAAGGATTTGAAAGAGGCTTTAAATAAAAGGAAATATATTGTTTTCCAATTTTCCAATTTTCCATCACTCAATCATCAATTTATTCTTCTTATACTTCTCCATTAAGAGAAAAAAATAGACAATTAGGTTACCTGCAATCAGCTCTCTGGTTTTGTAATTTGAAAACTTGCAGATGAAAATTTCAAAGAGAAAAATCCCCCTACTACTTAAATTAGCCCATGTGAAAGAAACCCTCCAGAAATTAACCTCCATGACAGCAGACTTCAGGCGCTGATCGGCCTGCAGTGTGATTGCAAGAAAATGCACTTGGAATGGCTGAAGAGTGTTGCTGTGAAAAAGAAACCATAAAGCCAGCAGTGTGCCCTTGTGGTGAAGGCAGGCACGCACATCCTGGGCTCTCCTGCAGGGCCAGGGCACTGAGGATTCTCTGCTCTGCACTGGGGAGGGCAAGTCTGCTGAGCTGAGTCTGTGACTTGATGTGTTTATCAACAACCTCTACTAATGCTGATACTAATGTGCAGACAGAAAAAAAAAAAAAAAAAATCCTGTCTTCACCTCTAATGTTGATGTATCCTTTTAATGCTAGCATAACCCACACTTCCCAGACACGTCCCAAGAGAATTAAGAACAAGGACTTTTTACTCTGAGAGTTACATGGGCCTTGGCAAGTGCTATGTGGGGATTATGGTGAACTCTGTATCTTGGATATCTGTACCAAGAGCCTGACAAGGAGTCTATCAAGGACTTCTAAACCAGTGTTCAGTGCTGAGACAAAACATGCCATACCTGGCCTGCTAGAAATCTTCTTACTCCACATTTTAGTTGTAAATAATTATTTCCTTAACACATCGGAGACCTCCTGGTCTTGATATACTGCTGTATATGGCATTTCTGCTTTATCCTTTTCTTTCAGGCAAGAAGTTTCTCCATCTGTGTCAATATATCTTGAGGATATATTTAGCAAATTGTGGTTCTGTTTATTATTTGTGTGCCTGCTGCTGCGTAACCAGCAACACACACGCCAATCACTGAAATTCCACAGAACTTTATATTGTGCTCAACTCAAACCTTTAATTTTCATTAATCTGTACACAAGCATTATGCTACTTTAATAACAGCCATTTTCTATATGGTCCAGAGAGAAGCTCAGAAAAGCTGAGAGCATTGCATCATATGGTAAATTTACACTGTGTTAAAATAATTGCCAGTGAGATATGTAGGGCCAACATACCAGAGTATCTCAGGGAAATAAGCCGCATTTTTGTGCACAACTCACTTAGGGTTAATGGATGTGATTGCACACTAAAGGAACTGATTTTTCTATGTTTACAGTAAGAAATTACAATGACAAAAAATAATAATATTGACCAGGTAGCCTGTAAACGACAGGGGAAAGGAAAGATGAAATGAAAATCACAACTCCTCAACAGATTTAAAACGCTGATTTTATATTTTGTTACCTGGGCCACTGCAGTGTCTTCTTGCTTGATTACATCTGGCAGTGACCCTTCATAGGAGTAGAAAAGCTTTGGCAACAGGCAGACAGAACTGGGAACCCTAAACAGAAGGAAAAACTACAGGGAAAAAAATTAGTGCTAAGGCATAAAACTCTATGGCATTCCACTCTGAAATGACAAGGTAGGAGGAGAAAAAAAATAATGGCCTTGTGCTAATCATGTTTAATAAAGAAAAGCAGCAAGGTACAGTGCACAGGCACATTGGATTTCTGGCACCAGGAAATCCAGATGGTAAACAGAGGAGGAATATCATTTTTACACAACTGCCCCATGCACAGTAATGCTTTGTGGTCACTCCTTTCTGGTTATGCAACTTTGCTTGTAAAAGACAAAACACAGAAAATACCAGCAAGATTTGTTTTTTTTTTTTTTTTTTTTTACAGGGTTAAACTTTGCACAAGTGAGATTTTTTTTTTTAAATCTATCCAAATTGATTAGAAGGCTTTAATGAAAATATTCTGAAAACCTCAAAATGAGATTCTGTAGAAAAAAGGACAATTTTCAAGTTGTAAAAAAACCTGTCCAAAGCAAGAATAAATAAAAAAGCAAAGCAAAAAACCAAAGATCTCATTCTGTTGGCAAAGCCTAACCAAAAATAGTGATAGAATACAGAAGTGGTGCTATCAATGGTGTAATATATATATAATGCCTGCCTTATGAGACTAAAGTAGCAGCCAAATATCATGAATAAAGATATGTTCTGCTATATCTGAAAGCTTGTGAAAGCATACTGTCACCATGGCAACACTGTGGCATTTATAGGAACTGTAGAGCTTAACAACCAGTGACGTTGCTCCTAAAAAAAAAGGAAAAAAAATTTTTGAAATTGACCATACATGTATTAAGCACTTCAATATGGAAAACACTTCACACATTCTGCTTTAGAACTGATTAAAAGCCTTCTTTGTCTCTGCTTTGTCTTGAGAAAGACCTTTCACTCCTTGATGCTCCTTCTGGACCATGAAGATGATGATGCAGATGTTCAAGGGCATGATGGGGATTGTTCATGGGTGTGCCAAGAGGGGAAAATAGAGAAATTGCTTTGGTGTCAGCTGCTTTTAGAGCAATGTCAACAAAAGTAGAGGAGCCGTGGCAGCTTCACATGTTAATGCTGCAGAAATTTCACCAAATCTGTCTATTAAGAGAATCCAAAACTCTGCAGTAGAACCTCAGAAGCATTGAGAACAGGATGTGCAAGGTGGGAAACCAAAAGCTTTATTTTAATGCAGACGACATCAGTGTGAATAGAACATTTGCCATAAGCACAGACATATGACTAAGCATATTTAAATAAACAAGGCTGGGAAAAAAATCAGTTTCTGTGTTGAAGAAAATTCAGGTCACTGCCACAATCCCAGTCTTGCTGTAGATCAAAGGTTTTTGTCTTCTTCCATGCGGTTTGTGGGGGTCTGGGGGCTGCTTCTCTGTGGTCATTGACATGGGAATGTTTGTTGATTTTTGAGCCAAATTTAATATAAAGTCCTACCAGACAGTCTCCAGATCAAAGAGGAAGTTATAATTCCTTAGCTAGAGTCCTTGAAGTTATCCCATGAGATCACAACTCATGTGGGTAGGTGTAATACCTCTCTGTAGGGCTCTAAATCGCCAAAATCCTTCTGTACCCATCCCAACAGGCTCACAGGCCAGGCAGCCACGCTTCAGGTACCTCCAGGTCTCCTTTGGGGGCTGTATGTGGTAAAAGATCATTAATTTATGCTTCGTGGGCCACTTTGTCAAAATTAAGCATTACACATTGTCTCAAAGTTCACAGCAGAAAAATTCACAAAAAAACCCCAAATAAGACAATTAAGTTCACAAAAAAATACAAACAAGAGAACTGTTTTATTAATTCACACGAAATCCTCTTTTGGAGAACATTATTCATGTCCATTCATCCTCACAAACCCCATCTCTGGTTTCTAGAAAAGAAGTTTGCCCTGCTGACAGCTGCGCCAGTCGACTGATGGGTTATTTTTCTCTCCCAGTCAGCTGTTAATGATGGATGCTTCCTTTAAAAGGGAGCTCAGATCCTGCCAGCTGTGTGGCAAGGGTGGGTGCATTTCCCTGAAGGTCCAACACATACCCATCAGTAACCCCTGCGTGGTTCTGGCAGCGAGCTGTGGATTTCTGTGTGCCATTCCTGACACGTGAGCTGCTCTGGAGTCAGCTCATGCCCACACACGTTGCACCCAGACCTCTCGTTGTGTGTGTAAGACAGAGAAGAATCAAATTGCTCTCTCTGCAGGAGAGAAATATGGAACCACGGGTCAAGGTCTTACTGAGGAGACCTGAGAACAAGACAACGCCATAAATCTACCCAAAAAAGTGAGAAGCACAGGAGGATGGCACCATAAATACACCAAGAAAGGAGATAAAGCAGGAACAAGCAGCTGATGAGGCCAAGCAAGATTTTGGGTGGAACTTTCCTGCTAACCTGTAGCCATTGTCACAAAGTTCGCACCCATTGGCTGTAGATGCTCCTTAGTCACATAATCCCTTTCCACACAGAGCATGAGGGATAAAATCAGTGGTATTTAAATGAAGGTGAGAAAATATTTAACCAATGAATGTAGTTCAATATTGTTTTTTGCAGGGGAAATGTTAATCACTCACTGTTGGAAGGGTGCAAAAGTGGGGAGCAGGCGTGCAGGGAGGCTGCTGCTCTGTGGATTTACCCCAGCACCCATCTCTGTGCAGGGAGTAAATAAATATTTCTTCTTCATCTATGTATTATCTATCTAAATATCTATTTATCTATCTATCTGCCTGTCTATCTATCTATCTACTTATCTTGCACTCTGGGTACGACCCATTTTTGGGATAACACTGACTGCAGTACAGAAGCAGCATCAGGGCTGTTCTCACACACAACCCCAGACGTCACTGAGAACAGAATCCCCTCTCAGCTCCCTGCTGTTAGTCCAGCACTTTCATTTAAAGGTCATGGCTGAGATATACAACTCTTGAAATCCTCACTGGAGTAAAAGAGCTTTGCTCCCTGGTGTCTTCCAATAAAGAGTTGTAGCCTGTCCTCATTTGGCCTTATCTCTCCAGGGTGAGAGTAAACCTTTCACTTGAACTCCTTGTACTGACACAGAGGAAACTTAACATAAATGTGGTACTTAAGAAAAAAAAATATATAGTAAAAAGCACATATTCCCTCCAACTCTGCAGCACGTATAATATATTTGTTTTAATTACATCAAGAAATTTTAGTTCCAAAAAGAATTTGTAAAAGTTGCACAGGATTTTCTACAGAAACTGATAGAATAAACAAAAGCCCGTAGCAGAGTGACGCAGAGCTGTCTGAGCACAGCTGCATTAGCACATAAGCCCTCCCTTTCCAATCTTATTAATATTTCAGTCTTTCCAGAGCAAATACATATCATTGTGAGACGTAGTGATGTGCCAGAAACTCCTCTGAGGGCTGGAATAATAATCTTTCCATTCAAAGTGTGGTCTGGTTTCTCAAGAGTAGAAAAGAGAAAGTGAAGTGTCACAAGACTGAATCACCATCATGTTTTCAGAAAGCTTCTGCTAGACTTTGGGAGTGTGATGGAAAAATTCTCTGCTGCAGTGGGGGAACTGGTGTGAATTTCCTATCTTTGCTACAGTCAATTTAGCAATATCCACAGATATGCTGGCTTGAAGTGACTGCCCAGCAGTATTAAATTACCCTTAACAGACTGCCTTATCCCAGTGGTTTACAAAAATATCTCCTTAGGATGCTTCCAAACATACCAGAGATGCTGGCCAGCCAAGTTCTCCAAAATAGTCCTCAGTTAGCAACTTCCATACTCTACACAAGAATCAAATTGCTTCACTTGAGCATTTGTTCTACATCTCCTTGATCAGAGTCGTCACTTCCCCCTTTGGGGTGTGATTATAAGGAAACGTCTTTCTCTTTTAAAAGAAAACAACATTTATGGAGCCCTCAAATAAACAGAACCTGACAGAGGAGAGAAATCCCAGGCGAGTGGGAGAAACGCTGCTACGGCTCCTGCATAAATATTGTCAACACATGGCTTTGGGCGGCGTTTAGTGAGCCAACAGGAACATTTCTTGTACACCACACTGTCACTGTCTTTGGGAAGAAATCTGAAAGCTTTGCTTTGTTATGATCTGGGCACCCTGGCATCAACAGAGATGCAGTTAGTGCCAGTACCTCCTGGCTTCTGGAGAAGGTGGCTGTGTTCTTGTCCCTTCCTGCCCAGGTTACCTTCTGCCAAAGGTTATCACCCCTGCAGCGAGCTGTGCTCAAATTTCAGCGGTGACAAGTCACAGCCCAGCTCCTTTATGTGAGCTCATCAGGGAGCTGTGTTTGGGGTCTGGCTGCCCTGCTGTGAACTGTGATAGCCACCGCTGAGAGCCACCCCTCCTTTCACTGCCTCTGCTACAAATAGCGGCAACCTTTACCCGATGGACACGGGACATGCAGCAAAGGGAAATAAATAACTCCAAGTGCCACAGCTAGAGCCAGAGCCTCGGCTGGGATGAGTCAGCACAGCCCCAGCTGTACCAGCTACAGGGCTGGCTTTGATTCTTCCCTTGCAGCCTGCCAGCCAAAGCACAAAGGAAAACCTCCCAATGGCTTGGTGTTATTAGAGGATGAGCAAAACAGCTGCATCCAAAACTTTGCCTGAAAACAGGCAGCATGTGCCTTCCCTCCCCACTTCATGATGTTTAAGAAGCCTGGCATCACTGGGAACTTTTTCAAGACCCATCTGTGTGCAGAGTGTGGTTTTTTTTTCCTCCTGGCAGGACAAGAGATGCTGTTACTGCTATAGTGTTCCAATGCTGCTCACCAATGCTTGCAAATATCCACTTGGACTACAAGTAGATCGACTAAATTTTAAGCAATCTTTAAAAACATTTCTTTCCCTGACCTGTCCTGCAGACAGGTTTTTGTTTACAGTGACTTCCAGGAATGGATCTTCCTCATAGAAATGCTTTCAAAGACGTTTATAGATAAAGGTGTGTGGTGGTTACTTGTGGATTCTTAGCAGCAATGTTTCAGTCATATAAACAGACTCAGTTCACCAAATAAACAGACTGGTGGAAACACAGGGTTTGAAACACATGCAAGACTGAAATTCATTTGCGTATGCTATTGCAAGAACAAAGCAAAAAAAATCTATCTTAGTAGAAATCAGTTTGGGCAGGAAAAGACAAAGATAGGCCAAAATAATTACATATCTTACTTGCAACAAAGATTACAATGATTTGCTAATATTAATCACTGCTTAATGCTAAGAAAAAGCATCTTATTGAATACATGGGAAAACAGAATTTTTTTCTGGATGTCTTCTAGACCTTTCAATCTTATGGAATGGGACAGTTCCTCACTTGCATTTGGATATAGAGATAGAAGAGCCTTGTGGAGCTTGAAAAGCTAAATTATACCTTATTTTACAGACTGTTGTTAGTGCAAGAAAGGCTGTGCAAAAGATTGTGTACTCTAGTGTCTCTTAGCTTTTTGTAAGAGATCACATACAGTACATATTCCAGTGGATTCTGAAGTGTTCTGCTAACACAAAATTTTATGTTTTTCACAGTGAGAATAGTCATTAATCTACTTTCAAGAACTTAATTTGCTTCTGTATTTAATTAAAATAATTTTGCAACTCCTGCAATATTTGGAAAAATGTGAAACAGAAACAAATAATGAGACATCCTGGGATATTTCTTATCGGGGTGCTAAATAAACCTCCATAATTCTAGCCTTTAAGCAAGAGTATTGCAGCAGGATGGATGAACCTCCTCTAAGCTGATCCTCCTCTAAGCTGGTGGGGAGAGGATAAAAAAGCAAATGTAGCTGTGGTTTCATACACAATGACCAAAAATGTTTGGATGTGGGATGGACCAGGATCTGCTGCAGGCTGACAAAATTCATGTGCCCCCCACAAAGGAAGGCACCAGCCACTCAGTGCCTGTAGCACAGCAGCATTTATCCAGAGGCATAAATAACTTGTGTTTGAAATAAGAAAAATTTTTGGAAGGAAGCTTGAAGTCAAGTAGTAGTTTAGTTCAAGGTCAAACGTTTCCTCTTCTTACTTAAAACCAGAGTCAGGCTTACAGACACAGTTAGCAAGAAAATATTTTTTATACCACCAGATCTTCCACATCAAGAGAATTGCCAGGATTTGGGATTCAACTTGGCTGTTTCTAGAGAGCAGAGCATATGCTGTGCTACTGCCTGCCTGGCATGTCTGCTCCCTAAAATGTCTGTCTGGCTGTCTGCCTACCTTTACTTTTTCCACTCTCGCACATTGGATCTTCCCTCCAGCAGGAAGGAGGAAACTGGATGCTGCAGGCAGTCTGGGCCTGGTCATTGGCGCCTCTGAAATTACCTGCAAATTATTCCCAGGAAAATAAATGCCTCAAAAACGGTCAAAGAACAGGGCTATGTCAGCTGAACATTGTCTTAGGAGTGGGAGGAAGGAAAAGAAATAGAACACAAAGCAGCCTGAAGCACGGATAGGTGAAACAGTCACAGGATTACAACCACTCTTTCATGGGACTGGGGGCAGTAAAGATTTATAACCCTCAGTAACAACAATGGCTCAGCCACTAACTGATAAAATTGCAGAGCACTGGCTAATAAAAGGAGATAAAGCTTTAGGAATAATCAGTTTAATTAAGTTTGGGGTTTTTTTGTTTTTTTTTTCCCTGAGGACTCGGTCACCTGGTGAAGGAAATACAGAATTCTGGTGATAAAGAACATCGTTCTTCAAAAAGAGGAAAGATATAAACTGGGACAGTGTACCACTGTGGCCAAAGGTGGTGGTGACCAATTCTAAAAGACCTCTGGTATTCTGGCTACAGGAAACTTTTCAGCACACGCATTATGTCACAGCCTTTAATGTTACTTAAGCATTATACACACATCTTACACAGAAGTCTTTCTTGAAGCTGCAATCACACAAGACAGTAACTGTGCTTGCTTTCACAGCCAAAGCTGTTTCAGAAAAGGTTTTCCTGGCATTTTTTCCAAGGCATTATCTGGATGCAGTTGACAACCATGGGAGAAAAGTGCAGCACATGGAAAATCTGTGAGTGCCAGGAAAGATCAGCTTTTGATACACCGGTTTTAAATGGCAAAACTTAGAATACACAAAGTTTTGCACACAATATCTTTCCAGTTTTGAAGAAACCTGATTTTAAAAAGATAAAAGTAGTTAATGACTCAGTGATAAGCATATGTAGTCTGTTATTTTCCTTTTGGGATCAGGCTAAACACCTGAGAGATAATAGCTATTCATACTCGTGTATCATTCCAGCCATGTTGCTGCAATACACCACACATTTCTCTGAGACATATAAGTTCTGGAGCTGACCTTCAGCTGCCATAAATTACCTCAATATAATCAGAGGTACACATAGATTAACAATAGTGAGATACTGGTAACTCCAGAAACTGTTGAAGGCATCCAGGCTGAAATGTGGCACACACAATGTATGTGTGCATGAATTCAAAGCAAATATTTTAACTAGAGATATTAACAGTGGACTCGCAGCACCCATTTATTGCTATTTCTTGATAGGGCATTCACTGCACAATGGGCTGTGTAAATTATATGTTAATTATATTAAATTAAGAAATAGATAAACCTCGAAAAAAGCAAGTTCAAAGGAGGAATGTGATCAGGAGAAAACTATGTGAGGCACTGGGGCCTGCAGTCTTGCTAAGCAGACTGAAATATTCTACCAGTGCAGGTATTTGTATAGCTCTGCTGACTTAACCACTTATACTTTTTGGCCTTTCAAAATTTGGTGGATAAAAATTGCAATTAAGGAATAAACACACCCAAGAAGATCTTCTTCTCTCTCTTTTAAGTTAAGGCCTGGGGACTTCTTTTGCCCTTCTCTTCCACCTGAGGACTGGAGGGATCTGACCAGTCCCGTGACATCCCTGGGTGCTCCACAACACAATCCTGATATGCAGGTATCCTATATTAGTGGAGCAATTGGTTTTCCATTATGAAATATCTCGTGGAATGTAGCAAGCACACAGCTGTGCCAAGACCATGTGCATGATTTTCCTATACCACCCATACTAGTTTCACTGATTACTCACTTCCTTAGCTACAAAAACACATGGCAAGTTTCTTCAGGCTCAAACATCTGTACACAAACTATTTGGGCAAAGATGTTTCCATTCACTCACACCTCCGTTGCTGTGACTAACATTTTAAACCTACCTTCACCAAACAAGACTTGATTACAGAAAACACCAGGCTAACAAATTAAATTACATCCCTCCAAAAGGTATCCTGTACTGTACTTTGCTGCACAGTCTAAATGGGTACACCAGCACTGCCCTTTTCACCTGTGCTTCATCCTTTTCTTCTTGGAAATTTGATATCAGGCTGAAATTGCCCTCCTCCTGCAGGCACATATTCCCCTTCTTTGAACAGCTTTTAAAGACAGATCTCTGTGCAAAAAGAGCCTCTTGGTGCACTATTCAGCTGTTGGCATTGTTAAAGGAAGTTGATGGATTTAATGTCAATAATAAAACAGTGCTAGAAATGGATCTGTTATTTTTTTCTGCAGACCCTCCCCAATGCCATTTAACTGAATGCACTATGGAATGTTTAAAATGCAAACTCCCCTTTAATGCGTAAATGTGCACACAAATTATTTTTAATTCATCTACGTAAGGTGTGTGAGGATGATTTGTACATAAAAAAGAGTCAAAGTTATTCTAAAAGCTTGAATTACTCACTGCATTTGCAGGTACAACAGACACCAGCCCTGCAACCCTTCTCCACAGCAAATACCTTAAATGTGTACTTGTAATAACAAAACCAAAATTGCTAAATCTTTTAGAGGCACCAATATGGCTGACATCCAGATGAATCAGCAAGCTGAAAACTTGTTATCTTACCAGGCATAAATCCACACCAAAACAATATTTGCAGCAGAAAATTTCAATAAATGGGTTTTATACTGAGCTTTTTGGTATCAGTGAAAGATGAACTGTAATATACTTTCCACAACAGAAACAGGGAATACACAACAAGATAGTCAGTACACATTAATTTAATTATTGCTATTTTTAAGCCTGATGTCAGTATTTTGCCCTCTTATATAGGACATAATAGACAGTTATAGATTTATTAAATAAATGAAGAAAATTAGACAATTTCACTGAAAGGGGATACCTTCATCTAATTTTGAAGGAACTTGAACCATCTCCCACAGCAGTTAGAGGCAGTTACAATAATCTTCAGTTTCCATTCTTCTGCACTTCTATTTCTAAGCATAAATGATCAGGGACTGTCAAAGGAATGGTGAATGCATAAGTTAAAAATCTGCATTTTTAAGGCTTAGAATTTTGCACAAAAAAAGCCCCACAAACTCAATTGAAAATCCTCTTTCTGTGTAAGAAGCAATTAGCTCACAGTGCTGTCGTTTTCTTAAAGCAAGGCTATAATTTCAGACCTGAAGCTTTGCAGAGGATCCTGTTTGGCTGAGTACAGCAGCCACCCTGTCTGAAACATTCTTCAGCAGAATATTAGCAATCAAAAGGTGTACCAAAAAAAATAAACCCCAAAACCCACCAACAAAAACAAAGAGTAAAAACCCACAGGGTATTCCCATATCTCTGAAAAATCAGAACAAAAAATATCCTTCTCTCTTCTACTCTATTGATTGTTACCAGTACTCTGTTTAACTGCAATTAACAAAACTTGTATCACTCATTCTGAATACTGATGGCAATTTATGGTTTTCAGACAAATTCCCCAATCCCTTACCTTAAAATAGAATGGATGATAGGATGCCAGTGGTGTACTTTATTTAGAAAATTATCTGACCATGCAATGGGAGAGGTATAGTCAGTAACATTTGCTGTTTAACTCCTGAACTTCTCTCTAGGTGTTTTTGCCCTGGGAGCTTTACTTGTTTCTGTGTCCTAAAGCTGCCCTTGATCTAGCTGCTTTTTATTTTGAGGGGAAAATACATGACTAAAGTAAAAAGGTCCCTGTTTCCCTTTCCCATGAGAAAAATGAAGTCAGTTTTAGAATGTCAGTCTGAGTGATAAAAAAATATGAGGGTTGGTTTTTTTTAACTGAGAGTTTCAACTTAAAAGCAGTCAAATAGGTATATTCTCACACAGAGACCCCAAACTATTTTAGGTTAGTAATTTACTTTGTCCTCTTACAGGGAAGTTCAGTTTTCAGATATTCCATATTTTCATGGACCAGAGAAAGAATAGGGGATATTATTCTTCTCTCATATTTCTTTCAGACTTCTCCTATGGACAATAGATTTGAAGCTCACCAGAACTATCTTCCTTTTTCTGACCCATGAGGATTTTCCCGTGGAGGCATCTTTTATTTTTAACCATCAACTGTGTCAGCTGCGTTGTGGTTGTCAGGGTCAACCTCTCGGAGCGTGGGACTGCGGTTTTGTGCACGTAACAGGACAAACTGTGCTTGCAGAGATGATGCAGAGCTGCCACCCAGGTCACCACAGTGCAGAGACTGTCATTCTGTGGACACCCCTGTGCACCCTCTGGGTGGTCTGGCTTGGGGCCATTCACCACCTGGCTTCTCACGGTTTATGTGATGCTCTAAGATTTTAGCTTTTATATTTTTCAGGTGCTGTGCTGCATCAGTGTATAGCTCTGAACACCATGTAGAGTGTTAGTAGGCTCTCTTCACATTTTGGACAGACATATCAATCCTTCCAGGCCTGAGAACCAAGGCCACCCTCTGCCTCAGGCCCCAAAAATTATAAACAAAAGTGAATTGGAGAGGAGCAAACTGGGGGAATGTGACTTCATTACCTGAAGCTGTAATTGGAGAATTAACCCAGATATGCAAATGGACAAAACTGATAATTGTGTGAAAAACTCCTGACCGCCATCCATCTTAGGTGTAGCCTCTGCAAGGCTTTTTCACTGCCTAAGGTGCATCTGTTAAGGCCTTTAATAAATACCCACTTTATTCTCTTAACTCTGTCTAGCCTCTGCTCTAGGCAACCACTCCAATGCATCATGCACAAATATAAACAATATTTGCTGTCACATAAAAACCTCCATTCATGCCTTCCTCGGAACCTTGTCCTTTGCAGGTAGCCAGAGCAATCCAGGGACACAGGTATGGCACACTTTCTGAGGGAATGTGACCATTATTTCAGCTGCCTGCACATCTCTTGGCAGAGTGTGTTACAAGAGAACACACCTCAGTAAAATCACAAAGCTGTCTGCTCTATGAATCCATTAATCTCACATCATGGTATATGCCTCTCCAGGAAAATGTTTCAGGAAGGATTTTCCAGCTCCTTGTTCTTCTCCCTTGGGATCTGTTTCTCTAGATGAGCTTCACAAAGGGTGTCCCAGGGCCCCTTTGCTACAGGAAGCAATCTCTGGAAGGATAATTCACAAGGTTTGGAAACCCCTCCTTGTCTGGAAGATTCATGATGAGACTTTACAAAAGACGCTGAACTGCATTCCCAGAAGATCTCTGACATAGGTTTCATAATATTGGACAGAAGCTTTATATTTTGACTTTAAGTACTCTCAGATCACACAAGGTGTTACAGACTCAGTAACAAATTTCTGCAGCGCTGCTGCTCTGTGATCCAGGCAATCTGGTGTTCTTCCTGGGAGTACCTTTTTGTCAGGAAGAAACTCGTCATCACACACTTCCCTTTAAACGATCCTCATTGTGAAAAAAAATTGTTATCCACTCAGCTCTATGAAACCCAGCCAGTCTGCAAAAACAAAATGAATGATTAATCTCTTAGAGGAAAAACTATCCTATAAGAGTGAGAATCTATAAATCCATAAATCCTATAAATTAAGGAACTACTAAGGAAAGGGAGGTTGGCTCCTATCACTTTATATGCATTTTATGTTAAGTAAATATTGGATTTTAAAAAAATGAACCAGAAGTAATCCCAGGAGACATTTTATGAACATGTAAAAGCTGGATGCTGCTGCCACACAGTGAGCTGGACCTCAGAGGCAGCAGTGTTTCTGCTAGGAGCTGGTTCCAGGAAGGTCAAAGCAGGAGCCAGGAAATAAGAAGGAAGAACCCTGAGGTGCCTCTGACCAAGCTGGGAATCAGGAAAACAGCCCTGTGAATTCCACCAGTCATTAGCCAGGGAGGGTTTGGGATTTCAGGGTTACATTCATATAGTCCCCTTAACGTTGCTTTGGGCATATAAAGTTTTTGGGTGTGACTTTTGGGTTTCACAGATGCTATAGGGTCAGTTCTAGTAGGGCTTGCAATGAGTGCATCATATCCTGGCTTCCACCCCCAGACATGGCAAATTCCAATACTCTTATTGGATTTGAAAATATTATGATTCACAAATGCCTTTGTAAGAAAATAATGTAAAATTCTTCAATAAATACCATAAAACATCGGTATTTCAAGTAATTTCCTGCAGCACTGGTAATGGGGTGAATTTGCATCTCCAGGTATTAAACAGAAAAGTTCCTTTAGTGCCCTTCAAAAAAGCTTTTTTCTGAGCCAATATAATTAAAATATTTTCCATAGCCTTGACTTGCTTTGCTGTGAAGCTGCATCTTACATTTTTGAAAATGGAGACTTGATGATAATTATGTTTAATACTTACGTGTGCTTCAGTTCCAAACTCTACATCCATTTCAAACAGTGTAAATAAAGGCAGCCTTTCAGGAAAAAAACCAATGAAACTAAACAAAAACCCCCAACCAAAAACAACAACTAATTTTGATTAAAAGCCATAACTGCAATTCTAGATATTCATTGCAACTCAAGAGATGCTCCTGCCAGCTTGTTAGTGTGCTTCTATTTTTGTCTGCCCACAGAATCTGTTACTTACATTTGGGTGCTGGAGGTGGGGGCCCTGAATTGCTGCTCCCACAAGAACATGCAGCAGTGTGCCACACACTCTGTACCAGGTGTCCCTCTTGCAGGTCCTCTGCCACCCCACTCAGAGGGGAAACGACCATGGAAACCTGATTTTTCCTGCAGAGGTTCCTCTCACTGATGCTTTTCCTGTTTTGGGAATGTTTCCTTTGGCAGGTGTGTGAAGGTGCATGAAATATCTCCCTTAATACAAACCATTCAAAATGTAATTTAGACATTATCTGAGGGTAGTAAGCAAGCAGTAGGACTCCTAACTTCTCATTTGTAGCACTATCGGGATCATACCTGGCTCCTCTGTGGCAACCTCAGAAGAAAACCTTGAAATGGCACAACCTGTTTCTCTGCCTTGTCTATTCAGCACACTTCTACATTGGAATTTCATCCCTGTGATCCAGATATCAGCCAGCAGCATTTTCCACAACAATTGCTTGTGCTCTCACGCTTATGTTCAGTTTGCCAATTAATTTTTTTTTCTTTTTTTTGTGGGACTGTGTAAAACTGTGAACATTTTAAAAAATGGAGCATTTTTAAAGGATGGCTCAGCTTGGACAGGAAATATGTACCTCTGCCAGGGCAAAGTGAGAAGGATAAAGTATTGGGGAGGTTAAAAATGTTCAGAAATCTGAAGGAACAGTCACACCATAAATATGGTTTACTTTGGAAACTGTAGCTACCCTTCTCTCCTGTCCTAACATAAGTGATTATCTCACTTTTGCATCCACTGCTGTAACTTTGCCTCAGCCTGTGCACAAAGCAGAGAGCCTGGAATCCTGGCTTGGCCAGAGGAAGACGTGAAAGATTTGGTTTTGCACTGAGTGTAAATATAATTAATTATCTGATGATCAACACTGACATGTGTTTATATGACCTCAGTCTAAGGAGACTCCTAAAATCTGCCTAAGAACAAGGTGGAAACAGCAAATGTTGGGGCACAGAAGGCTGTTTTGTCTGTCTGCAGAAGGAAGGGAGAAAAAGAAATAAGGATAAGTTTTAGGGTGACAGCATCTCCTCAAACCATCAATATGATACAGGCAGCTTTAAATCATCTTAACCTACAGGTGGCACTGGATGCAGAAGTAGAGTTTGCAAATTATATTGCACTCATACTGATTTATTTTTCCTTCATTTGTATTCTTTAGTGTGCACTGTGACGACAACAAAAACATCCCTAACATCATTTACATAACTCATCATAAAGCCAAGATTTCAGAGTTAATTTACTTTCTCCATATTTTCCTCTACTTCCCAATTTTGCCTCAATACAGCCTAGATGTGAAATCTAGCACAACATGACAGCAATTCTGTTGCCAAAAATATAAAGGTTTGTAAAAGATTCTGCTTCTCTTCCTTCAGCTGGTTTATGCAGTTTATCTAGTAATCTCTTACTAGATAGCTGGTGGCTGGCAGCCTTAGAAAAACAGATTTAGACTTATACTTTGCATGGACACAGCAGAATAAGAGTGGGCAGATAGATCTATCTTTAATCCATAGGCTTACTGGTAATTAAACAAGTAATGTGCAATTTTATTGCTATAATTCTAAAGGTTGAAGAAGGATGCCTTCCAAAAGGCATTATGCAGGAATTGTGATTTGGTGTGATGCAGTTCAGTAATGTCAGCCAAGACACGTTTTATGTCCAGCTCTCATTAAAATAACCCCAGAATAACATCACTGAACAGATTTTAGTAAGAAATTATAACCACTACCTAACCCACATTAGTTAGCTTGCCTTAAAAGTCATCTCAAAATAACATAAAGGCCTTTGGAATAACGAGGATGAAGAGACATGTGAAAGCTTAATGAGCAGGCTGCTGGCTTTCCTGCAGCTTGATTTTGCCCTGATTTTCAATAACTTTGCAGAGCTGAGAGCTGCTGCTGAGAAGTGAGGCAGGATTGTCTCAGCAGAAAGGTTGGCTGTAGCAGCGACACAATTGCTGACCTTCAGAGCAATTTGGAATGATGAGCAGTTTTTTTCCCTTTCAAGAATCCTGCTTCCTTTACCAAAAAAGTGCCCCTTCTCACAATGATGTCATCCTT